ATAAAAAAACATATTTATTACATAGGGACGAATAAAAAAATTTTGATCGATATATCTATTTAATTTAATAGATTTTATTAACATTTATTTTAGTTTAGTTGTTAAAATATAATAAAAATATGGTCAATTTAATAAGTTCTTCTATTCTATATGTATAACTATATCTTAATTTGTTTATTTTAAATTTTAGTTAAAAATAATAAATTTTTAATAAATTTATTATAAGGTATCTTAAAATTAAAGTTTATATTGATCATTGTCTTAAAAAAAATTGCATTGTATAACTAACAAAAACCATTGAACATAATTAATTATAAGTACATATATAAATTATTCTATACTCGATCTAACTACCAGTAACAAACTGGACTAAACTTTGACAAGTCTAGAGTCTAGAACCTACCTTAAGCACTGAGCAAAGGTTTCCTTGAATATGTAGATGTTAAAAATATGTAATTAAATTAATATACCATAAAGTAACATTAAGCATGTAAATTTACCAAGATAATTGAATGGGGCCTCTGCCTTTGTAAGACTTTCCAGGGTAGCAGGGCCATTCTTTGTCGGTGGAGTCACAGTACTTGCTCTGGGGATTGACTTCCTCCTTGAAGCAGAGACCCCAAGCATATGGTCCATCAAGCGTGGTAGCCCATCCACCGGTTGTCTCATGGGATATCTGACCTAGAAAAGCTGCAATTTCACGCCTGCGGGTGGTTAAATTTCCTGTGTTTCCGAACCTCGGAAAACAAGCGGTAGCATGGATGAACGACTCATAAGTGTAAAACTCTTTTGCTGGACATGCATTATCATCTTTGTGTAGAAATATAGAGTTGAAAAGATCTTTACTAATCAAGGAAGAAATATAGAGTTGCTGCTCATGGGATTTATGGACTTGGTGAACGTGTTTTTTCATTCTTTGTGCAAATGGAGGAGGAAAGAATTAGACCGAATAAAGTCACATTTATCGCTCTCTTGACTGCTTGCAGTCATGCAGGTCTAGTTGACAGAGGTTGGTCCTTATATAATTCCATGATATATGATTACCACATTCAGCCAGACATGGAACACTACTCTTGTATCGTGGATCTTCTTGGTAGAGCAGGACAAGTTGATGATGCATATGATATGGTCAGAAGGATGCCAGTGGAACCAGACATTAATTTTTGGGGAAGCTTAATTGCTGCTTGCAGGGTTCATAATAAGGTTGAGTTGGCTGAACTTGTAGAGAAGCAGATCTTAAAGCAAAACGGTCAGCAATTAAACCCACAAGATCGCCGGAGGCGGTGATTGTGCCGCGGAGTGGCAAGCATGGAGTGATGTTCTGGTTGAGGAACTTTGTGATTGCCTCTAAAATTTCAAATCGAATGCCAGAGTATCCCTGGAGGAGGGTGTTGATCCTGACCAGCATGGCTGCTCTGCTGGCTGAGTGAGGCAGCATATGTG